TTCAAAAGAAACTGGTACACTAATTACATACATAATAGATATATTGCTGACAAATGCGGTCGCCTCCTGTTCATGTAATACATTAATACGTTTTCGATAACCAAGATGTTTTGATTCGCCAAAATTTATCAGAAGAGTCCTTTCTTACCGAGATGCTCAAAAAATCTTTCGCCTTCCTACCTGCTAAAAAAATTTATCGAGGCAAACTGCCTCAATGTGCAACCTCGATGGTGCCTTCACTAAAAGATGTTTTTTGGACTATTGCATATCACATTTGTAGGCAGCGTAGTGCTTTTTAGAAAGAATTCGAACTACATCTATTTTTGATAGTCCATCCAACTTCAAAATGTCAGCTTTAGCCGAAAGCGATATTTCTCAATAATGATCATACTGAGTCGTACTCGATCTTATAATTTTTAGAGGATTCGTCCGATTGGATACATATACATTCAAAGTTTTTCTCTGTCACAAGATATGAATAGAGATGTAACTTTTATAATGCAATTTCTCAGACTAGAGTCACAACAAAAAACTGTTTGAATATTAACCAACGTGTGTGGGTGTGAATAACACAAAAAAACGCATTTGCGCCTGACTGAGTTGTATTTTTACAAATAATTTCTTTACATACTCCCATTGAGCTTGTGGAAGGAAGTTAAAGTACGTACAAATGAAAAAGAATTGCTGTGCATGGTTAAGAACAGTCTCACTCAGGGATAACTAAACATCAGGAAATTATAATCTATACGCCTTCGGAGCTACTATCTTAAGAGTAGGACAAAGTGACCGTTTTAATGAGAGACTTATGGCCCACTTAAATCGTTTTTTGAGCTGATATATTGTGAGACATTGCCTTGATTGTTTAGGGGTTTATCGTGATTTCAAACCAGAATGGCATCATATTTTATGAAGACAATTATTGGTCAACAACTGGATAAAATTGTCGATTCCACTGGTAATAGTGACAAAGAACGTGGGATAGCAGGTCGGCTGAAATTGATCCGAGTACTCTAGAAACACAACGTCTCGATGAAGAACGATGATAGGCCAAAAATGCAAAACAGGAAGCCGATCGAGAAGCTGTGCAACAACAAATAAGAGATAAATATCATATTAAGAAGAAAAATGAATCGACACCATCTGTAAAGCAGCATCATCTCTTACACCTATCAATCGAAAGCACTCTCGAAAAGAAAGTGCAAGCGTCACACGAACGCCATCAAGGGGATAATTACACCCCCCAACGGCATCAAAATGAAATAGTTAATAATAAGGACTCAACTATGTTTAGTTCCATCGTAGCCAAATTGCCATTTAAACTTCCATGGAATTAACATTTGATATGTACTATTTAATTTACAAATAAATGTTTGCATATAACCAACATAGTAATTCTCAGTGATCTTATCGTGCGTGTCATTGCCTACACGTTATTTCAAAGACCGAGATTTTGAAGTTCGTTTGCATTCATCAACCCATCAAAGTAACCTAACAGTTTTTTTATTACTGAAGAGTAGACGCTGCTACTTACGGCAATAATAGCGAATCATTAAATTTCACTTCAGTTTTCTGCCAAATATCAATATTTTCGAATATTTTGCATAAATTCTACTTTCTCTTCAATAAATTTTTTTCTGTTGCTGAGAAGATTTACTACTGTATCTAGAGAGCGGTCCTGCTAAACAACGTTAAATTACTTTTAAGCATTTTGGATGGCTGCTATCTCTAAAAAGCTGATACACAAACATTTTACATATACTCCGTTTTCCTCTTCAATAAGACTGTAATTAGCAAAATATGCCTTTGAACGGGTCTAATTTTTTGTGGACAAATTAAATTCTGTATTAATTGCACTCACATTAAATTGTTTTTGCGTACTAATTGTTTTTTTATGAGATTTTTCAAAAATCGGTTTCCCGTAACCGGCTCCGAAGAAAAACGGCTAACATACAGGTAAGGCCCACTCAGTTACGAGAATAGGATCCAACTTTGAAAAACTTAATTTTAATTTAATTTTCTAAATTTTATTTGAGAAAATTAATTTGCCACTTTTTATGTTCAAGATACAACTCTCGAAAATGCTTTTCGAAACAGAAAATACGAGCAGTAGAAAAGCCGTCTCACAGGATCGAATCTGCAAAAGAGTTCTACTTTTCTGCTTCTTACTATTCGTAGTAAAATTGATTTATAAGTTTCTTCAAGTGTTCTTGCCGTTTAGAGTTACCGTTTAAAAAATTCTACTAAATGCTCGACTCCTAAAAGGCAATGGATTTAACCTAACTAACAACCTCCTTGTGTTTAATCTATTTGATGTCAAGAACTAGCTCGACTGGTCGGTTAAGCAGGCGGTTAATCTAGGTGATAACCTCCCCAACCGCCCGATTCAAGGTTAAACTTTTTGAGGCGGAGCCAGTTTAAGTGGGTCCAAAACCGTGTTACCTAGCTCCAACCGCCCGATTCTAGCTCCATTTTTTTTTGCTTGGTCTATTTCGTCCCTCATTTACTTACTTAGTGATAATGATGGTCCTCGTTCAATCATACTTAAAACTCTTGCCTCAAAATTCGTAGCAAGGTGTCCCTGTCGTATATTTTCTCCGTAGAATGTACAGACTTGTTCACCACTTTTATAATATGTTACTGTTTGACAATTTATATTTTTAAGACATTTTTGTGAACAATGTATTAATGATGTAATTAAACTTAAATTGCTTAGAAAATTAGCTCGATTTGACACAAAATATTCGCTATTGAATAAAATACTAAAATACGCTTGCCGCTGTGGTACCGCCAACTGATTATGCACTGGGGAGTAAAAAACGACTACTAAAATTATAATAATAAACTCCTTAATTCTAAACGCCTTTGGAAGTCCGTTGTAAAGAAATACAAAGTAAAATATAATAATAATGAACAAAACAAGAAAACTACTTACCTTTTACTTTTCTTCTATTTCCTCTAGTTACTTCTAACTTTAATTTTTTTTTCTAATTATTTCTCTTATTTTAGTTGAATTGATAATTTTTCTCACTTTTAAACACTACTACTAATTGTTTCTGTTAAAGTACTCTTTGGTTTGTTCGATGCTAATCATTAACAATAACAACAACCTAAATGCAAAAATAAGACATATGCAAGGTGTTTACATCTTACACGACAAGATTGATCTCTCTTTGCTATAATTAGATTACGGTGAGTATAAATAGTAAATAGACGTAGTCAGTACCCCTAAGTCAATGTTTTTACTGGATGGGTGGCAACAATCATTCCGATTTTCCTTAGTTTCTTATGCTTATCGAGAAATCTACATTTTTCCAGAGGCAGTTCCAAAAATTTGAAAAAGGCGATCTCTTTCATATTCTTTTTAATTATAACTTCGAAACGTTTCAGCTGTTCGTTTTGAGCAACGTCACATTCGACAGATCACACTGTAAAAAATAAAGTGCTGCAAAAAAGTGTTTTTTATGAAAACTGTTTTGCTATAAAGCGCATGGCTAAACATAGCCCTTTTCAGGTATAGAGAAAATAAATAACGTTTGATCTGCTGTAAACTAGAGCACTTCGTGAAAAAACGTGCGTTCAAAGTGATTGCAAAGACAGTATTTTTAAAAATGTATAGTAGAAAGATGCTTTTGAAGTGACCCAAGAGAAAACACTGTAACAAACAATGTGAATTACGCTCTTTCAGTATTTCCCCTTTCTTATGTGGATGGCCAAAGAATAATGTAATGTAGTCCATAGGCCGCGATTTTAATCTTTGTACTGTTTTTTCTTTCTTACTAAATAAAGTTTATATTAACAATGTGACATGGAGCGTTTTTTTGAGAAGACACCTTTTAAAGTCATATTGACAACTCATTCACCGCTTTTAGTTTGCTATAACTACTACACTGTAAAAAAAGTCGTAGATTAAAAAACTAAAAAGGGTTTTACATTTTGCATCTGTCACAAACGGTTTTTCAAAATGCACAATAAACCATCAAAAAACTAGTCAGAAAACCCTTTAGAGTAGAGTAATAAAACCGAAAAGGGTTTTTTATCTCTTATATATTTATAGAATATATATAAAAAACCCACGGTTTTTTCGAGGGTTTTTTGAGACAAGGGTTTATTAGCTGGTTTTTTAGACAGCTTTTTATGTCTAAAAAACCGAAAAGCGTTCCGTACAGACGCAAAATGAAAAAACAACAAAAAGGGTTTATTAGCCGTTTTTTTTTGCCGCGTCGAGTCGAATTGGTTCACAATTCGACCCGAAAAAGGACTTGATTCCCCCAACTCTGTTCCAAAATAAACAATACTAGAACGATCTATCTTACAGGGCTCATTTCGTCTCCGTTTATTCAATCATGGACTTCACAGTATCAAAAAATGTGAGTTAAAATTGATCCACTCGCGTAATTGTGACGATTGGAGCATTACGCCACCTATTTGCAAGTTGACCTATTGCAAGCCCCCTCTCTCCCTCATGCAATAGAAATCAAATAAAATCTCGTTACTAGTGGAAACAACAAGCGTTTTTACCTCGACACACAAACAAATCAAATACCGTTAAAGACCAAAGGAAAACCCAACTCATTTTAGCAAGTATATTAACAAAAAAATCACAGCTAGCGAAATACAATAGCGTTCTAGAAAAATAAGTGTTTCACTCGAAAAAAATGATTTCAACAACTTTTTTTGATTGAAAAATATTTACAAAACTAATCACACGGTAATTAAACGCTAAGGTGAAAATGACTGTCCTTCCAATAAAAAACGTGTTCAAACTGCCAATCTTGAAGAAAATATAAATGGCAGAAAAATGTTATTTAGTAGAACTTAAGCTCATAACAAAAAGCATAATAAATTTCGTAGAGCAAAAAAAGCTAAGACCATGGTCTTAGCTGCAGCTAGACAATATAACACACAAAAAGTTGAAATCAAGTTTGAAACTCACACGAAAATAAGATAATAAAACTAATTTTCTTCAGAAAAAAAGATAATGATAGTTAACGTTACTATTTCTACCGTCGTCCTCTTTTACCACCATTTCCTTTCTCTGTAACAATCACTTCTGAACCACCACGACCTGTTGTTACATTATGATCTGATGCTATATTGCCTCGGCCTCTCATGCTGCTACTGCTACCACCACGACGACTTGTTTCCAGAGGAATGGGTTCATCATCGATTGTTGTTGTTGTTTCCTCTTCTCGTGGTAGACTACGTTTACGATTGTTTAAATTAGAACTTTGTGATGATTGTTCTATAAAGACTAAAATAAAGACCAAACAGCATAGATTAACATACTCAAACCCAGAATAGGCAGAGGCTATTTCTACTACTCTGCCGCGGCAATTTGCTGCAATATTATTTAGACTTGTCGATGAATCATGGGCAACTTTTTGCTTACTAAATAGGTGAGACGCAGTTTCCGTCGTTCGTCCATCCGGACACGACACATGGACAAAAAAACTTTTGCACTAGGCAATGGAAGGACATGGACAGAATGAAAGTTTTTCCTTTCTTTCCACCTGTGTGAATCAAACAAAAATAACAAAAGCCGAAGCTAAGAAAGCAACATGAGACAAAAAAGAGAATATCTGCCTTTTTCTGCACTAAGGGATAGAAACTAAATCTTCTCTCATCGCACCAATTGTCTTTTTACGTTTTTTTGTTTGGATATGGACGGACAATAGATAAATTTTTTTTACCTTGGAATGGACAATGGACAGGCATGGACGAAATTAAGAAGTCCATGGACATGATAGAACAAAATGTATCCGTCTCACCTCTGTTTTTCTCACACATTAACATTTTTTCAAAACATATGACCTTTCTGCGAGAGCGGAAAACAAAAGGCTGCTTTTCTATTCTACACGAAATACTTTAGAACCTGCATCTTCTGTGATGTCACTTACCTTCAACTTCAATCTTTTCAGCTTGTGATTTCATTTGAACACTGACATTTTCTTTGTTTTTGTTCGATGTTTGTTCAGTCAATATTGTTCATGGAATGGTATCTTGAGTTGATAGTTGAGTTGAGAGTGAAGTGGCTGAGGACGAAGAAGAATTTAATTCTTGTAAATGCAAATCATTGGAAAGAGACGGTTTTGATGTTGTTGGAACTAATTCACTTTTAGTTTGAAAGTTATTAATTTCTGTTAAATCATCTTTTGGTACGGTAAACTGAGCAGTCGATGAACTAACATTTTTCGTAGATGATGCTAAGACGGCAGATGATGTTGTGGTTGATTTCATTTTTTCTCGTGTAGAATCATAATTTAATTCATTTAATAATGAACGAATAGAGTTACTAATATATTTACGTTCATTTAAAAGTGTAATATACAATAGACGAACAGTTCTCGATCGTGGATCAAATTTAATTTCAGAAATATTGTACATTGAGATCAATAATGCAATAGCTTCATCCAGCGATGAAGTTGAAGAAATAACAAGCCAGTTAACATATACATCAATCGATTGTTCATTAATAATTAGACATGGATATGGACTTGAAGGTTTCGAAATAAGCATAACAAAAAAGACGACTTTGCTCTTCACTAGAAATTACGAAAGCAATAAAAAACATGAAAAGTTCCAGTTTATCTAGGTCTAATTGTATTTTGCACAGAATGAAATTGAACTACCGACTTTTTCGATACTAAAAAGATCGAACAAGGGCGACAGTGATGCCATCTTATTCTAGTTTTTTTCTTAGAGGTTTGCGCATCGTCTGAGCGTCTTAGAAAAGATAAAAGACCTGTCACACTTACATCAGTACAGATAATATATTGTGAACTTTCACTGAAACGTTTTGCAACAGTTTTAATAAATCGAACTGAAATTGGATCTAAAGAGAGACGAAAGCTACATAGCTATAGCAAAGGTGCAAAACTCAGTTTTTTCGGTCAATTCAACTTGAAAACGAAGTGAACAGAGAGAAGTAAGGTCACTTTGCTTCAACACGTTTTCAAGAGAACACAACAAAAATTGTTAGCAAGGAAATTCAGCGTCTGTGAAAGTTCTTGGCTTAAACAAACAGCCTAAAAGAACAAAGGAAACTTCACAAAACTCGAATCAAAAATCGAAATGATTTATATTTGTTCTTCGCTCCATCCTAGAGGTGTGCAACTCTATCCGTGGTCCATGGACTTCACGGGGATGAACAAAAACGTTCGTTTTGTCCATAGACATGCACGGACACCGGACAGCCTGGAAATTTTTTCTTTCTTCACGATAGTTTTTCTCTGAGCTGAATGCAGAGAAAAGAAAATTGAAGACTTCGACTAGGCAGGTAGATTAACAAACTCCGTTTTCAACACGTACATTTCATTTTCTTAATTTTTTCCCTCATGAAAAGTTTTTGGATGAACGACGGGCAGACAAAATAATTTTTTGTGACAGCATGGACAATGGACGAAAATTTTGTTTTGTTCATGGACATGAACAGACATGAACAAAAAAATTTGCCAATGCCTCTGCTCATATAGAATGAGCTGAATTGTTTTCATGAGAAAAAATTGAATTCGCCTACTTCGATTAAGCATACTAGTTGCTGACCTATTAATTAGTCAAATGGACTCCTTACCTGTAATAAAAGTAGGAGTATCGAAGTTTTCAAACAATGCGGGAAGAATATTTGACACATTTGAAAGAACATCTTGACCAGTGACTAATTCGACTTCACCAAAAATCTAGTCAATAAAAAACACACATAAAAGTCAGATTGAAAGTGTAAGCAGTTTAATTTTGTTGCTAAGAAAAAACTCAGCCACGCATGTTTTTTTCTGAGCAGATAATGTTCGAGAAAAAAAGACATACCAATTTCGAAATACAATAACCAGGAAATTCACTTAAAACTTCATTCAATGGATGATTTCTAACAAACATTCTACGACACTGTATAGTTTGCATCCACTTTTGGTAACATTTATTTACATCATAATCAATTTTCACTAGTTCGTTTTTCATGTCTGATACTAAAGTATCCGTGTTTTCTTCTGTTTCGCCTGTCTGTACAACGATCTAGAATAACAAGGTCAAGTTGACGATGGTAAAGAAGTAGAAAAGTTAACAAATAAAAATGAACTCACTCTCTTTTCAGGACCTCTCTCAATCAGTGATAAATCTTGCTTCTTAATTGGACGACCAGAATTGACTTGTGAATGTTGTTGTTTTCTTGCATTGATTTCAACATTACCTTGAATCGGACGCCTCTTTGTTTTATACTTCGAAACTAATGTATGATACCACGAAGCTTGAAGTATAAAAAATCGCAAACGTGGTAAGAATGCAACATTTGCCAATATTTAGTTCCGCCAATGTCTGAAGCAGACGTGTGCATGGACAGATTTGTCTTGCCTATGTTCGTCCATGTCCATGGACAAAAAAAAAATTCTGTCCATTGTCCATTCAAAAGATTTTGAATGGCAAAATACGAGGCGTTCCCGAGAGAGTTTCTTATCTCCTTAGTTAGAATAGAGAAGAACTTCTTTTTTCTGTTGTATATTGAATAGTTTTGTTTTTCTTATTGGTGCTTGCTCGAAGGATGCAGGAAGAGAGGGTAAAAGCTTTTTACTCTGTCCGTAGTCCATCCATGTACCTGGAGAAATCTTATCTTTTTTATTCATGGACCATGGACATAACTGCACACCTTTGGTCTGGCGTAAAATCTTTTCGTTCCTGAAAGGTCTAGACAGACCAACGTATACACCAAGAAATTGCCTCGGATTCAGATTCTTGCTATGAACTTCTATAATAAATAAAGCTTAAGAGGCAGTGCACGATAGAAACACACTTTTCCAGCATAGCCTGCTCAATGAACTGTTACAGATTTTTCTCAAGTTATCAGAGCAGATGGAGAAATATGCCCTGAACATTTTTTTCCAGAATGCTTTCCCTTGCCGCTAGAGCGCTTACAAAAAAAGTAGTAAAATACGGAAAAAAAGCGATTTTCCAGTCGAAAACTTTGCTTATGCTATAATTCCGTCAAATCAAATGCTAATGAGCTTAAACTTTTACCAAAGCTGTCTTGCTATGAGTACTATCTATGATAAAAATTTGAACTTGTGTGAGATAAGCGTTCTCCAGAAATAGTTTATTCTTTAGGCATAGACAAAACGTTATCGGCCATTTTGCAAAGAGGTTTTTGCAACCGAAGATGGTTCGTTTGAGGGGTTCTCTACGGTTTCGTGAAGTAGGCCCAGAGTACTACCATGAATCGTCGTCGAATTTTCCGGGACATCATGGAAAACACTCGGGAGCCTCTTGTCAAAAACGTCCACATCACCTTGGAAAAACCTGAAAATTTTGCTTTTAAAACCCGTGGAATTATACACTATTCGACGCAGACTTTCGTTCTACATCTGAATATGTATAAATGAAGGTTCCACAGTGCATAGAAAAGGAGAAAAACGCCAAAAACTTCGGATTTTCCAGGGTTTAGAAAAGTTTTTCGGAAAATATTTTTCCCAATTTGTCTTGAAATTCAGCCACTTCCGTCAACTAAACAATTTTTCTGATTTAACAGCTCGATGCAAACTTGAATTATCTATCAATCTCCGCAAATCGCAGATTTTTAGCATTAAATTTTGATTTTTCAGAGATGTTT